CCCCAAAACCCCAAAACCCCAAAACCCCATGATTTTCAATTTAAACTAATTCAGTAATTTAAAATTATAGATTAGTAAAAATAAATATAAAATATTAAAAAGTTTGACAGGATAAATAAATCTATTCAATAATAGCAAATATGAAGCAATCAGATTCAAACTAAGAGAGAATTATGAAATCTTAGCTGAAGTATTAAACATATATGGCTGATTATGGCATTGACAAGCTGATTATAGAAGGCTTTAAGGAAATTAATAGATTCAAACCTTAAGACCCGATAGTTTTTCTTGGAAATTTTCTTCAGAATAGGGCTTCCTAGATTGAAACCGTTATAAATAGTGATAATGTGAAATAATAAAGTTAAAATCAGAGCAAGATTTCAATTTAAGAGGGATAGAATGAAAATAAGAATATTATAATGAGAGACACAGAAGAGCTCAAATTCGAGTACATTCCTGCTTAATTCGAAAAATACAAAAATGAACGCACAAGGACTGTAAAACCATCATACTCTTAACTATTGAATATTTCAGAGAACTGTAATCATAACTTAAAATCAAGTAAAGTAAGTAAGAATTAAGAAGAAGAAAAAGGATAAAATTTGTAGAAAATAGATGAGGATGAAAGCGACGACTTTGATGAATTTGAAGTAACTGCAGTACCATAAGCTGGTGTATTAGCTAAAAAGCAAGTTTATAAACAAACTTCCATTGCAAATTTTTCAACAAATAATGATAGTTTGAGTTAAAAAAGCTCAATTCAAGGAATTCCAAAGTAAAACAAAGATTCGCTTTTATCGAATTAGCCATTTGATAGGAACCTAACTAGACTTCAGAAACTGCCAGATTTAGAACTATAAAAAGATCTAGTAAATAAGATATTTCAATTATCAGATACAAATCAAATAATCATTGGTAGCCTTGTCGATAAATTTAAACCTATCTATAAGGATCATATTGACTATTTATATAATAGAGCTGTCATGTACTAGTTAGTCCATGAGATAAATTATAAAAATAAAGTAAGTAATGAAGGGGATGATAACTCTATGTTGAAATTTTTGTCAGAGCACTCATTAAGATACAAAAACGTGATTAACCTCAAAGAATTAGCCAGAGGAGGAGAGGCTGTTGTTTATAGACTATAACATATTGATTTAGATGAAGTTGTAGCTAAATGTACGCTCATTGATAGTTAATAATAAGATTAACAATAAAGACATGAATAATTGCTAGATATTTTTTCAGAGTCATAATAGTTAAAGCTTTTAGCAAACGATAACTACATTGCTTAGGTAAAAGAAGAGATTATAGTCATAGATAAAGCATAAGGTAACCTCTCTTAATATGTTGCCATAGTAGAAAGAGCAAAGAACACTTTACATGATGTATTATAGATATGGAGAAGCAAGAAAAGTAATAAAATTAAATTAAGAGAGCTTTTTAGTCCAGAGGCACTTACTTATTACTTCTATCAGATAATATCAATTGTTCACTACTTGAACTCGAGAGGATTCTACTTTGGGGATATGAAACCATAAAACCTTTTAGTATTTAGGGATTAAAGGATAAAAATTGGAGACCTTGGTATCTCAATAATGAATGATCCAACTATTGATTTAGATGAGTAAGCTTATAACCTTAAAGGGTTAACCCAAGCTTATGCAAGTCAAGAAATGATTTAAGCTTTTAAAAGAAATGAAAAGGTTTCAACTAATAAGCTCATGATGTTTGATAAGTTTAGTTTGATGAGAACATTGGAAAAATGCATCCTGGCTACAGATGAATAATATTTGAAGTACCATAAGAGAGAGCCAAAGCTCTACGAGAACATGTTCAATGACCTTAGAGATAAATCTTTGAAGGAAACCATTGAAAAATGGACAGTCATCCTTGCTACTGATAAAGAATTTTGTCTGAAACTTTCAATGATTTTTAAAGAGATGGGAAAGATGGAGGCTATTGCTAGTCCAATGTAAATTTCTAATTATAGAAACATAGTTAATGAAATGATTTTGGATCCATACAGGTCATTCTAAATTTAATCCAAGATCACAGCCCCAGAATAACATCAATATGCTTAGTATAACAGAAAAATTGATGTTCAAGACATTTAAGTTGAAGAAACACTTTACTTAGATATGAATCAAGTAAAGGTATTCAAATAGGATTAGCAGTTCAAACATATTGTTCTATGCATTCTTGAAACCTTAGAATCTAAAATTGATAAAAAGCCCTTCTAACAACTATTAAAGGATCCTATAGCTAGAGGAAAATTAGAGAGTTTCTTTTAATATAGTAACTCTACATTTCATTTACTCGGCCACTTCTAAGTGAAGATTACAAAATTAATTAATAAAGAAGTTCCTCCAATATAAAAGGATCAATTTTATTACTTTTCAAGATGGATGATACTAGCCTAGCAAGATCCAGAGAAATGGTAAGCTAATTCTAGTAGTTTTAAATCATTGATGAAAATCATAAGTAACTAGGGTTAGTAGATACCAGATGATGTCAGATAGTTTTAAAAATTATCTGATCTAATGGAAATAAAATGTAGAAGAGCAAGTGAGAAATAAGCATCATTCAATATAGACGAGCATGTAAAAGCTCTTGAAAAAATTTTAACATCAGAAAATGAGCCTATGGGTTTAATAATTGATGAAACACTTAAGGAGGTAATAATTTTACTAGACAGGTTTAAGGATTAGCTTAGCATTGAGATACTTAAAAAAATGAATAATATCCTGAGTTATGAAAAATCAATGGAGTTTGAACTGTAATTCATCTCCGAGGGCTATTTAATGATAATTGAAGCTTACATCCTTGAATAAGAAGGAAAGAATAATGAAGCTATTAAAGTTTATAATAAGGTAATTGAGTTATTCATAGACTTCTTCTCAGAAGCTCATTTTATCATTCTTTAAGTCTATGGAAATTTAGGGAAATTGATGGTATAAGATGAGAATAGTGATTAAAATTTGGCAAAGCAATATTTATACAAATATGAGAAATATTTGAAAGATTAAAGTAACTCATAAAATTGATAAATAGAGTAATGATGCAGTAAAGAAAAATTAATAAAAATAAAACTATTTTTTACTGATATTCTAGATATTTATGCTTTGGGGTTTTGGGGTTTTGGGG